TTCATTTGTCCCATCCTTCTGAAATTTAAGACAGTTGAAAAGATTCAAATAAAGGGTAGTAGAATGAAAACATGAAATAGTCCAACACTTTTGAGAACACATACATAATGACTACTAGAGGGTAAGAGCTTAAACTTCTATCACAAAATATGCCATTCTCCAATAGACCAAATTCTTCAAATAATAAAGCACGTATTTATTAATTATTACTATTCCCTTTATCAACATCCACAATCTTTTCATGGTTAAAATGCACTCCTATAGAGTTATTGGGATTGAGAGAGCAAAAACGTCCAAAGTTGTCATAAGCAGAGTATCTTCATAATCATCTCCTAATAATTGAATCAATTTAAGCCCCTTAAGTACTCTCTGTCCATCGAAGACTTATACAAAGAATTGGACATTAATTCTCCCAATCAAAGCAACAACAGAGTAAAGAGCATCTCTAAAAAATTAAAAAGAGAGGCTCAAGTCAAGATCACACCTTTTATTAGTACTATCCTCCACATATATTCACCCTACAATTATAATACATGTGGAAACAACAAGACATCTCTTTACCTTGATTTTTGCCGCCCGACAATCCGCATCCCTTTTGGCTTTCTCGAGCCTTTTCCCTTCCTCTAAAAATGATGGTTGCTTCCATGAATGTCCTGGTCCTTGTTTGTTGCCTGCTTCATTGGCAGTCCCAGTTTGCATATTTTCCTCCTTTTCTTCTACCAATTCTTCTGATAATTCCTCTTCTTCGGCAGATGGTTTGTTTCCTGCTTCATTGGCAACCCACTTTTTTGTCTTCTCCCCTTTCCCTTCTCTCATTGTCATTTTCCGCCACAATCTTTGAATTTCTGCAAAGAGAGAGAAAAAAGGTTGAACATTACTAATTCGAGTTAGCTCATCTCATTAACCCAGTGAGCAGATCTGGTCATAGAAATAAAGATTCAACCAAACAACCAAAGACACAGAGTTGAAGTCATAATCCCAATGAAATTAAAAGCAAAAGAAATGACCCAGAAAATGATCAAAACAACCAAGCATGTATGACGCAATTTAAATTAAAATTACGAATGAAATATTGTTAATATTTAGATCAGACACCATCACAACCACAGTACAATAGAAACAGTTTTTAAAAGTAAAACAGCAAATTTAAGGCAAAACTATTAACATTTAGATCAGCATAACACAAAAATTAATAGTTCCACTGGCTATTTGCAATCAGCACAACAATTTGTGACTAAATTATATCAACCCTACAACCTTTCTAATGGAAAATTTCTCAACTGTATTAATTTTATTTATTTAAAAAATTGCAATTAAGTGGAAGTCAAAACAATTTCCTTGCACTGAATCGAGGGAAAACAGGGTTAGTTTTTCAGATCTCAAGCAGGTAAAACTACTCAAATTTCTCAGCAACCAAACAGAATCATCAGAGAAGTCAAAACATAGAAGCATATGATTAATCACCAAAAAAAAAAGCTAAGAAAAACTTCCAGATATTATCAAAACATAATTAAAAAAAAAAATCGAATGAAAAATTTGAGAGCACTTACTCCTGATGATCGATTCAAAGAGCAGTTGGGGAAGAGCTAAACGTAGAAGAAGAAGTGAGGAGAATAAGGTATGAAAAAAAATATATTAATATACTCTGGAGACAAAAACAAACCCTTAAACATCTTCAATTGTACCATTTTAGTCGTTCTTGTGGCAATTAAGTCGTTCATAATATACATCGGACAAATTTGAGAGTTGACTTCTTGACTAGCGGGTGTATTTGTATATTTTCCATATATTTTGAGG